TGTGCCTGCTTGAGCAGAAAGGTTGGACTAGATGATCTGTAGAGGTCCCTTCCAACCTTAAATATTCTGTGAATCTGTGAAATGTTATCCTTGCCAAATAATCAAGGAATATGATTACCACAGTTTATGCAAAGTTAAGTTTATACTTAAATCAAAACCTTAAAATTCTAAAAACTATTCCATATTATTTTTCAAATATTCCCTACTATTGCTGACTCAAGTAAAATCATGTGCTTCAAATTAGATCTTTCCCCAGGAAGTCATTAAAGAGACTATAAATGACAGTCTTGTATATTTGCATTTGGTCCTTCACACAGATCAAGCCTATATTTAGAATCCACAGTAGGAACAAACTCATAGGAATTATCTGACCTGATTTTCTGCATTTTAATAATTTAACTGAAGACAGGTTTATTAAAGCTTGTTTGTAATTCTATTTGTTTCAGAAGTGCCTGGCTGATTTAGCTCAGAGCAAGACCAAGACAGAGAAACTAATTTTAAGCACTTCACAGAAGTTAATATCCAGCCTAATTACAGAACTCCACAAGAACCAAGCAAGTACTTCCCTAACTTATAATTAGCCAAATTAAGCTATTCCACATTTCTGGTTATATAACTGTTCAGTTTTGCTTCATTCCTATCTTTTCAAATAAAGCTAAGATCATTAGATCCATTCATTTACACCTATATGGAAATAAAAAATAGCATATTAGTTTTGTCATAGAAAGGACGAGAATAAAAAGAGCTTAGGAATTCTGAAGTTATCATCACCCTGTCTGACAAGTTTTGGTTTTGTGAAGCAGCTGCAGGTGCAAGAAACTAAATTAAAGTATTCCTTCTCTTCAACATGAGTGCCTGAAACACAGAAAAGTCATGCATGCATGTGAATGTCAATATGAGAATAAAAACATGCTTATATTCAAAGTTACCAAACATAAGAGAACTACAAATCAGAATGAGCCTTCTTGTTGTTTTCAGTTAGGTTGAGAGGAGAAGAAAAAAAGGCCATGAAGATGCGAAGGAATTTAGGAATTTTGCTCCGTGCACAGCCCATCGCAAGGCTGACACAGAATACCTAAACCAGTATCTCTGTTGCCAAGGGGACTACAAGGAAAAGCCATTTAAATGCCAAGATTTATTTATTAAAAACCTTCTGAACTGCTACAATGTCAGACCCACACTTTGTACCTTGGAAGCCAAAACTCAACAGCCTCAAGGAAAAGCGAGCGTGCTGCGGGAAGGCCGGGCCTCAGCGCGGCGCGGGAGCTGCATTGTTCCCTCCCGGCACGCGGGACGGGCCGCGGACGCGCCGGCCTCGGGGCGGCAGCGGCCGCGCAGGCGGCCCCGGGCGCGCGGAGCCCCGCGCCAGGCGTGCGGGAGAGCAGGGCGACAGCCGCGCCGTGCGGCCGCCACGCAGCCCTGGAACCGCCGGCTGCACAGCCCCTGCCAGGCCTAGCAAAGCAGTTGCTGCTTGTCCCTCGAGGAATAACGCATGCAATCCAGTACGGCGTTATCAGCATTGATAACACATGGAATAAGGCTGCTGTAGGGGCACAGAAATCGCTGTACCCCCTATTACATGGTGCTGCCTCAGCGTGATGCACGGGATCGTGCTGCCGCATCCCGATTGGAGAGCGGCTGGAGCCACGTCCAAGCTGGAGCCACGTCCAAGGCTCCTGGGTGAGGAGCAGTGCGCGGCGCGCGAGCTCCCGCTCTGAGCGCCCGCGGCACCGCAGCCCGCCGTGTCTTCCACCTCATCACAACGCAGAGAACAACCTCCCAGCCCGTCTGAAGCTGGAAAGATCCATCAGCTCAAGATCAAACACTCAGTTCACTGGAGCTCTCAGCTCAGCCCATCTGGAGTGGCACTTTGTGGGGATGGGGGTGTCAGCTGCCCAACCACAAAGAACCACAAAGAAAGCAAGCAGTTGTTTAAATCTGCAGTTTACAGCTGTGCCCAGATTCCACATAAACGGCTTGGCTGCTCTGGAGATGAGCACAGAGCCATGGCAGAGCAACGGGCAGGAGAAGGCACATCCCCAGGGCACATCAATAACGAGACCTCCTGAGAAAGGGAGTGATGTTACTATCCATCACCTCTCGAGCGCGGCCTCAAGCCACCACCAGCTCTGCAAGGCTTCTGTGCCCAGAGGTGACAGTCCTGGGCCTGGCTCGCTCAGACTCGCAGGAGATGCTGAGGCCGCGCAGGCACCCCGGCCACGGCACAAGCTTTAATAGGAACATGGCACAAAGCATTACATAGTTAAGTCGCAAGGACTTCAGTCTTACAGATGCCAAGTTGCTAAAACAGACACTGCAGTTTTCAATATAAACAACTAGATGATACATAAAGATGTAAACAGCCTAAACTAGCAAGCTATTTTTAGTTACTTTTATGGTTGCTTGGCTAGCTTCAGGCTTTGCCAAATTCTAAGGGAAAAATTCAGATTATATAACTGCTCTTTGCAAATATGCCAGCATCTGAAGCAGACCAAGTCACTTCTCATTTAGAAAAACATTAAGTAACTTAAATTTCAGCAGAATACACTGAAATTTTTGTAGTGTTCCAGCAAGTCCTGCGTCTACTGAAAACAAATATGTATATTTAAACTTCTCACTCACTATAGTAACACTGCAATGGGACAGACAGGGTTTGAAGTAGGGTTCCACTTCTTAGTACCGTACAGACATGTGCCACAATAGCATTAACTCCTCAAGTGCTGCCTCATTAGGCCCTGTCCTAAACACCCACACTGAGGATAACCACCGCGGTGCGTTATCCCCGCCAGCTCTCAGGCCACCCTGACGCGGGACGTGAGCAGGGAGCTGACAGCAGCCCGGCCTGTGCACCCCACAGCGGCAGCAGTGTTTAACACACGGCCTCCGAGGGTGCTTCCCAACGCTACGTTCAGAGACACGGAAACGCACCGTCCCCTCTTATTTGCCTTTAATAACCACTTTCCAAGTGAGCTGCATTTTGACACCACGCTCCTGGTGCCACCACGCAGATCCTGGTGCCAGCAGCAGGCAACGCCAGCAGAACCCAGTACAGGCTGGAGATGAGGGAGGCTCAACTCAACTCTTGGCTACCTTTTCCATCCACAAAGTACTCCGTGACCAAAGGGATAAGGTTTGGTGCTTTGCTTTCCTTTTAGAAAATTTGGAGTCCTCTGCACATGCTACAAGAAGTTACAGTGATGTTTAAACCTCACAGAGCCACTAGAGACACGCTGCAGAACTAACAGTCCTTCCATTATTGATGACCTTTCATCATAACATACTTGTTTTAAACATGACCATATACAATGCCTTAACTTGTATCCATGACACCCTGGAATAAACAATTTTGAAGTGTTATCCATAGTTTCATGGCATGTGTTTCACTGAAATTTCTATTTGGGAAGGGTAACCATGCTTTGTCTGAATCTGGGAGACAGCCCAGCTCCAATAAGGAAAGTTATATTACCTAACAGACATACATTTATGTCTTAAATGATGCAATCTTCCAAGGGACACATGGAAATTATCAAGCGTCTGTATGTGTGACATGAAAAACTGGCAAGGAATATGCTGAAGTGCTTCTTATGCCAGCCAGTTTTACATATACTGCTACTGGAATTTCAGCATAAAAAGCAACTTTTATTCATTTTAAGCTCTCCATTAGCAAACTAGATTGAGAAAATTAAGCAAAGCCTCTGAAGGAAACTATATGAGAAATATACAAGTGAGACTGCAGTTATTTTAGAAAACCTAGGAGAAAAATTGCAAATGCCCAGGTCACTACGTTTGCTTGCATCATCAGACGTGCACAGACTGACTACACATTTTTCTTTCCCTCTTGCCCTCAAAAGGTAAAATTTGGCTTTTAATACAACAGTGGAAAACAATTAAATGCTGAATTAAGGCATGAAGCAACAAACAGCAAATTTAATTTGGCTGACCTTGAAACCTAAGGCAGGAATTTTTATGCAATTTGCCCTAAATTCACCATAAAGTGATATCAGCTTGGTCGTTGGTTTGTGAATTCTAACCTTTGTAAAGGTTATTTTAGCAATTTCATCTTCATACAGAATTCTGAATTACTAAATTGCAATACATAAGATAATTAAGCGGTCTAGGAAAGATTTATTGAATTATATTTAAGTGTCATAATAGTGGTGATTTTCTCCAATCAGCAATTGAAAAAAAATAAATCAAAATATGGATTGGAGAAAGAATTTAGTGACTTGCCAGTGCCCTACTCTTAGGGCTTCAAACTCAGCAGCAGAGCAAAGACTCACAGGATCAGAAAGATTCTGGGTCTAGTAAAGATTTTACACTTCAGACTGTTACTGAACCTTGTTATCACAAACTCCAACATTTATGTGCTATAATTAGACAGTGTGTTCTCTTTCTTTCTTGGAACAGTATGAAACTCTCATTCAAGAAAACTACGGGTGCTCTCTCATTCTTGAAACAGTCTTAAAAACTAATGTATTAACAGTGAGAAGAACACGGTATTACCTCCTAAATGTTTCATGATAGACTAGACAACACTGCAGAAGGAGCAATAAAATGTGTTTTCCTGTTGATGCTTCCTCATATTTTGAGAAAAAACATTTTCCAACATTTTCCACTGCATTATAGACTGCAAGAATGCCTAGTTTGCAGCCTTTCCCTATCTGAAGTTTCTTCTGGTGTTAAGACTCTCCTATCGTAGAAATTCTTCTCACAGACAAGCCCAGCACAGCTGGTAGCATTATTTTGAACCTCCTCCTTCTCCCCGTAAATATTGTCCCAGTTCTACTGCCGATATCAGTGCACTTCACAGCTCTAAATGGGAGTAGATGTGACCTTCACCATCTTTCGCAGACGATGGTAATATGGCAAGATCTTCAATTTAACAGAACTGATAGGATGAAGCTAAAGACAGAATTGCTTGTTCAGTTTAACTACCTTAAGAACTAAATATTTTAATATATATATGTTTGCATATATAAGGAAAATAAAATAAAAAATACCTTTTTTTGATTTTGCTCCGATCTTCAACTTTGATGGCCAAGCAATCTGTGTATTTGTTTCCTCCATAATCTGTTAAAAGAAAACGTTTATGCAAAGTTATGTTTACTACTTTTAAATCTGTTGATTATTATTAAATAGTAGGACCTGTAAGTCCAACTCTTGCAGGTAGGAATATAAAAGCTTTTGTTTTGCTGACAAGCAACTTTCAAGAAGTGAATTCAAATGAAGTTTCAATAATTTCAAGTTCAAATTCTGCTGCTGAAGTTCAAACAACTGCCACTGGCTACTGCATGTTCTGGGCTCATCTCAGAGAAAATGGAATTCAACTAATTTAGAAGGTATTTTCACAAAACTGACTAAACCCTATCAAATTTAAATCATGACACTCAGAACTATCAAAACCAGATACATCAGGTTGCCTTCAAATAGTGACTGTGGCTTCAAATAGTGTTGTGGTTTTGGTTTTAAGACTATCCAGACCTCCAAAATTGTACTTGCTGATTTAGCAACTCAAACACCATTAGATTTGCACTTATCTGATGCAACAGAAAACATAATTTACTTGCAAAATTCAAGCTAGCCAACAAGGGAAAAAACTCTTCATAGATATCTATATAATGTGTATACACACACACACACACAGAGCTTCCTCCAATCATGTATTCGTTTGGCTCTGTGTACAGTTATTCTGGTGCCTTCTTCACTTTAGTGGATCAAAATCGAACTTCACAAAACACCAGGCACATCTACTGAGACTAAAGAGCTTTTTCTCTATACCAGGACCCCATAAACTCAAAATAGCCCTTTGGAGACTGTTGTAAGGCACCAGGAATACGCAGGGATTAACACAAGCAAATACAGTATTGAGCTGTATCAGGCAAGTCATCTTTAATAAAAGTACTGTACAAACTGATTGCAGTCTTCTTCACAATTTCAGAAACCACATATTATACAAGAAAAGCTTTTTTCTGCTGCAGCACTGAATGCTTTTCCTTCTCCATCAGAGAAAATAATTTCTTTTGCACATACAGCAATCTGAGAATTAACTACCCAAGAAGGTCTGTAATGGAAATAATTTCTGAAAAACTGAGGTTCTCAAAGGAACCCTTAGAGGAACTGGAACTGTATTTCATAAATAAGACTGTTCTGACTCTGAAAAATCTGGCTCCAGCTGCACGTTATCAGGCCTACAGGAAAAAAAAAACCACTAGTTCTAAGGCAGCTGGATCAAAAGCTTTTGGCCTCCTTGTATTCCAGCTACTCTGGACATAGTGGGAAAAGTTATAGCTTAAATACTCTTGGGAGCTTTTACATTGAGACAGTAAGAAATCATTTTTCTCCAAGTCGTAATTTTTGTTTAGATGTTTTGGATGGAAACTGGAATTCACTGAGCGCAGAGAGAAAACCAAAACAACTCCTCGGAAAGCCACAAGCATTTCAAAACGCAGAGGAAGTATTTTGAACGTATAAGATGAAGAGCCAGCCAGCCCTGGCCCCATTTAGAGCAGAGGGCTGCTGAGGGAGCTGCCTGCTGCCGGCACTGCCCTTCCTAGCTGTTAGAACTGAGCTTTACTGCCTGGGCAGGCCGAGGGGAGAGCAAGGAGCACCTCAATGTTTTTGTGACTGCCAGAGAAGGGGGCTGCAATTTTCTTTTCAACTTTACACTCTTCTTTTTAGGGTGGCAGAGTAGCTTCCTCAGTTCACTGCTGTTTACGTAACAGAAAACATGTTGCACTTTAATATATACACACTATTTAAATGATGAATAACTGTGTATGCTCAAAACCCTACGAAAAACCAACTTTCAATTCTACTTTTAGAAAAGGCGTATGTTTTATTTTATGTGAGAATGTCAGCATCTATTTTTGCAAAACTAGGCTCTGTATATTAAAAAAGTCAGCAGCCATGAATTTCTACATCCATTGACAGCTTTTTTTAACCAGGGTACTGTTGTTAACAGCTGAATTTTTGCCTTCCAAGACTTTTCCTGGATTTTCCTCGGTGCATGTTAGAACCAAGTAGAAATACCTGCATTTAGACCAACAATGAAGAATTTAGTGCTTAAACTCCTATTTGGGCTAAACTACTTTAGCCCAAAGGGCTACAAATATTAACAATTTAGCCCCTAAATGTTACATACTTCACCTTGCAAGCCAGTGAGAAAGCCACCTTGTTTCTATAGGATCAAAGCACAGCAAAAAATATTTTGGACAAAAACAGACTTGGAAGAATTCAGGGGCTTAAAAAAAAATCTATTTTCTTTTCAGGCATTGCAGCCTGAGACACACACACGTGCATCATAGGACCTCCATCTTCCAGCCAAATTAGATATCGGCAAGTTTAAAACAGAGAGAAGTTTGAGGTAATGCTAATCTAGCAAGTTCAGGCAGAGGAGAGAAAAACACACTCTGAATCAAAAAACACAATGAAACAGAGAGACACAATATAGATAGCTGAGCTTGCACAGTAGCCAGAGAAGAACGTGGGCGAGGATCAAGCTCCTGCCCTTACAGATACCAGACAGGTCGTGAAAACTGGGCTGCTCTGCTCACCCCATCAGCCCTGCACATCCCAGGGCCGAGGCTCACGTCACCACCAACAGCAGCACCCTGAACCAAACACACGAGCACATCCCCATTCCCACCTGCTACATGTCTCCTCGTCTGGTTTAACATAGCGTCAATCAATATCCCTTTTTCTACAGGGAAGGAAAAAAAATACACGTGCCTGCAAAACTCAGAGATAAACCCCAACACGTACAGCTAGGCAGGGCCTCCCAGGATATACATATATGATTAAAATCACTGCAGAGGCAAAGAATCCAAGTGCAAGGGTAGGTAAGGACTGGGAAAGACAGAGGTCTACGGACAATATAGACATCTAGGTCACGATAATAGCAGCATTTGTTTGGCAATCCTGTTGTGAACATGAATCATCACCAGGTTACAAACCACTGCCACTGGCATTCCTTACGGGTGACCACAGCCTGCTATGTCTGTGGAGGAGTACGTATAGCCAGGGTGGACATTTCCTTACCGACTGCTGGAAGAAAGGTGGCTGATTAGCTACCTTGCTGTCTCTGTTTCCATTATTCCCCCGAAGCTCAAGACATGTTAAAATGTCATTTCAATTTTACATGTAAGACACTAAGGGAAAAATCACTGTGCAGGACAGCACAGCCAAAAATGAAGGCTAAAAGTAGCAAGAGTAAAAGAAAAAGCGGTAATCCAGTAACAGCCTTTCAAAACTTGACAAAATACACTTTCCTACAAACAAGACATTTCAATGGCACAATAGGTAAGCTGTTGCAAATGTTAGAACTCTATAAGCAGGTCCAAAGCACTGTCAAAGAGCAGTTCCCTCACACTTGCAGGTGGCCAAGCATCATGTTGATCCTCTGCCAAGCGACACAGGCAGAAACAGAGATTCCTGCCATTAACACCCACCCTCTCAGCAGAACCAGCCCCGAATCCCAAAGGGCATCTTTGTGCTCTCCTGCAAGGACATTCCCATTGTCTAATTATTCACAGGGAATGCACCGCATAGAGCATATAATGAAAGATGCTTAAGTGGTAAGGCTAAGTACTATGGCTGCTGAAAATACTAAAATGAAGTAACAGAAAGCTTTGCAGGGATAGCTTTGAATGATGAGCTAGACAAGCTTTAAGAGTGCAGCAAACTGATTTTAAAAACACCTAAAAACCACTGCAAAGCCAGGTGCCCTCCAAAACAGGAGGGAAACATGACAGTGCTATACTGGCCTCTCTCAGTCACAAGACCTTCAACGCTGTGTTTCTTCCAAATATATGAAATATTCTTCAGAAAATAAAATCAATACTTAACTGAAAATACTATGAGCAAAGTTAATCCAGAGTACTCTAGACATACTTATCTTGTCATAAAATAAGTATCATCCTCATATTTTATGCCTGTTAATTCTCCTTTACACCTAAAACAACTTTGCATAAAGGGTGAAGCAGCTGGGGTGACATTTAATACTATCTTAATCTCAGCAACAACTATAGACAGGCTTGGGGAGGAGACATGTGTGTTCAGGCAAAATTAGATCCAGATCCTGAGCCCCCTCATTTACAAATACACAAAACCCGCCTGTGACAACAAACCAGACATTTTAGAAGGGTGTTTGGGTTGGTCAAGTGCTCCAGCCCAATGAAACAGCATCAAGGGAACTGAGAACTGGGCAGGTTCTAAAGCAGGTTGAATAAGGAAGTTAAGCTTAAATGTTGAACACACGTTTAAGAACCACAGTGAAATGTAGGCCTATGCATAGCACCTTTAAATACAGAGTTTCAGTCAATTGGTGAATCTGTTACAATTTTAACAAAAACATTATTTGAAAGACAAAGATAAATTAATCAGAAATATATACACATGAAGTGCTTTTAGCTAACAAAGAGCAAGTACCAGAATAAAGGGATTAGAAATTAAATTTCCTAAGTCTCAGAAAAACAGAGCACTAAAATACAGTATTGCAGGTTTTATTTGGATGCTATCAAGTTAAAATGAGTTAAAAAGAATTTTACTTTTGTAAGTGTATGACCACACTATTCATCTAATGCAGTATTGGCCAATTTGTGACATGTGACAATTTAAAACCTGACCTCAGGACATGTAGTAAAAAAAAAAAATTAAAAAAAATCACAGAACAGACAAGTCTCAAAGTATTTTGTTTCAAGGGCAAAAAAAAGTTCAACTTGCAACTTCTACTTTCTGAGAAGCTCTATTAGTTTGGAGCAAGGCATGTCCTCGAGTACGGATGTGTCAATACCAGTATAAACAGATTTACTGCTGCAACTTGCTCTAAGCACACAGAACAGCTGGTATAAAAGCAGAGAAATGCTTTCAGGAAAAGCACCTGAGCTAAGGAGGCACAGCAAGCAGGCGGAGGCTCAGAAGAGCCGACCACGCTTGTCCTCTGAAAGCCGAGATGGGAAGGCAGCAGTCTCCGAAGCAGGATGACTCACTCCTGAACAAGCGTTTTGGCAGCGAGAACAGAGCGCATGGGTGTAACTGTTACCAGAAGGAGTACTTCATTTAATGACCGGGGA